CGGTACAACTGGTTATGTTTATTTAATTTTGTTTTCAAAGTTTTACAATGGCTTATGGTATCAAATAATATGTCAGCATAGCTTTCTGATGGTGTGGCATGCTTACAGGGAACATTATTTTCAAACTTTGATCCAGAGAATAGTGGACATGTACAAAATACGGATAGCATTGAATTCGGTGGACTGCTATTCGGTCTTTGTTCGGAAATGTTTAATAACTGAAACTGAGATTTGATTCATACTTTGAAATTAGTGCCAGTTGTGTGTTCTCATTATAAAGATGATATTTCCTTTATATGTGGCTCAGATTTAATTTTTGTGGTGCACTTAATGTAAATAGATTTCAGGTGCATGCTAACGGTTATCTGCATAGGAACAAGTTCACTGCATGATTCACTGTTGTGTTTTTTTGTTAAATGCTCATTGATAAATTGCTTCTACTTGTTAAATGGGAGCTTCAACTATCAAGTTATGTTGTATTACATTGATACTTTTCTTAAACAGATGTTAAAGCTGTTCAGATGTTGGGTTGGGTTCAAATGGTCCTGAATAGGTTTTGTTGTGCTTTTTATTACTAATAGAACTCCACGATTCTGTATAGGTCTCTGGTTCTAGGAGCCTTCTTGAAAGACTTGTTTAGAATACAGTTGGAATTTATTAGAATGAAAAATGGTTGAGCTGTCGCTCATTACATCAATATGGGAAGGGCTCTTAGCACCTGTGTCAGACTTCTAGCTCAATATCAATGCAGAAATTCCAGAGAGAAAATAGCAGTATTATCTCCTGAAGCTCTATTCTTGCACATATTTTTTGTCCAATAGAGACCCGCAACCACCACTAATTATCATGAAAACCTATTTGTTCACTGATGCCCTTTTAGGGAAGGCAATCTGCCTTCCGGACCTGATCTGACCTACATGTGACTCCAGAATCTCATTAATATGCCAAACTGTTAACCGCGTACTGGGCAACTAGGGATGGGCAATAAATGCAGGTTTTGGAAAGCTTTTATTAGCCTTGAATATAAGACGTCCAGATATTTCTATAATCCATGACCTTATCTGATGGAATCCAAAATAACCTGGGAAATTTCAAGTGACTTTGGCATTGGAAGTTGTGTTTAATGATGATTATGCCTGACCGACTTTCTCTGTTACTGAGTTATACGTGGTCTATTGAGTTGTAGCACCCAAATTTAGGGGGAAATGGTACAGTAGTAATGTCACTGGTTTAGGAATCCAGACTTCCAGGGTGGTGTTCTGGGGGCATTGGCTTGAATCCCATTGTGGTAAATGGTGAAATTTGAATTCATTAAAAAAAGCTAATAGTGACCATGTAAATACAGTTGATTGTCACAAAACCATTCATTCATTGATGCTCTTTCGGGATGGAGATCTGCCATCCTTACCTGGCCTGACTAACACAGACTGTCAACGATGTGCTTAACTCTTAACTGCCATTTGGGCAATTAGGAATGAGCAATAAATGCAACCCTAGTCAGCAATGCCCATGAACAAATAAATACAAATAAATTGATCTGTCTTTGAAAAAGCATGGACATCTAGGCGTTGAGTTACTATAAAATGAGAGGCTTTGTGTCCCGCTTACAATTTCTTTCTTTCCTTTAAGATCATAAGACATAGTAGTAGAAGGTGGCTCAGTGCTTAGCACTTTTGCCTCACAGCGCCAGGGATCCAGATTCAGTTCCAGCCCCGGATGACCGTCTGTGTGGAGTTTGCCCGTTCTCCCCATGTCTGCATGGATTTCTTCCGGGTACTCCGGTATCCTCCCACAGTCCAACGATGTGCAGGTTAGGTGGATTGGTCATGCTAAATTGCCCATAGTGTCCAGAGATGTGTCGGTTAGGTGGATCAGCCATGGGAAATGCAGGGTTATGGGGATAGGGTAGGAGAGTGAGTCTGAGTGAGATGCTCTTCAGGGAGACTGTGTGGACTTGTTGTGCCAAATGGCCTGTTTGCACATAGCAGGGATTCTATGGGAAAAAAACATTAGGCCATTCAATCTATTGAGTCTGTTACACCATCCAATGAGATCACGACTGATCGGATAATCCTCAATTTTACTTTTCTGTCTTTTCCCTTTCACCTTTGATTTCCTTACTGTCTATTGGCACTTAATAACCCAACCTCAACAGCTCCCTATGCTAAATAATTCCATAGATTCACTACCCTCTGACAGAAGAAATGCTGCCTTCTTTCTGTCTTCAATTTGCAACACCTTATTCTGGGATTATGTCCTGTTGTCCTGGACTGTTGCACGAGGGTCAACAACATTTCAGCTTCTATGCTGCCAAGTCACCTCAGGAACTTATATGTTTTACTAAGATTGCCTCTCACTCTCCTAAATTTCAAAGCTTACAGGCCCAACCTATACAATCTCTCCTCATAAGAAAGTCTTTCCATAGCCTAATGAACATTCTCTGTTTTGTCTCCAATGCAAGTATGTCTTTTGAGAGGCTCAAAACTATTCACAGTACTGCAGCTGTGGTCTGAGTAATGCCCTGTATAGTTGTAGAAAAGCCACTCTACTTTAAACTTCATTTCCTTTGAAATAAAGGCCAGCATTCTTTACACCTTCCCTATTACCCTCTGAACTTGTTTGCTTGTTTTTATTTTGTGATTCCTGGATAATGATTCCCAAATCTCTCTGTTCTGTAGCTTTCTGCAGTCTTTCTCCATTTAAATAATATTGAGCTCCTCAATTTTTCCTGCCTAAGTGCAGATCCTCACAATTTTTAACATTAGGCAAAAGCCTGCGAATGGAATATAATTGTTTAACTTGTCTATCTTTCTACAGACTCTGGCAGCCTCACCACTTGCCTTCCCACCTATTTTTGTGTTAACTTGGCTACAGTGCATTCACTTTCCTCATCCGTCGTTTAATATATGTTTTAAATAAGTGTAGCCTTTGCACTGATCACTGTAGCACACCACTAGTTATGGTTTGTCATTCTTTAAATGGCCCCCTTATCCCAACACTCTGTATTCTCATAGTTCGCCATCCTCCAACATCATGGCTCCTGTCTTATTAAGCAGCCTAACACGTGGTACCTTATCAGATATCTTCTGAAAATCCAAATATATTGTAACCACCATGCCATCTTTACCTATCCTGCTTGTTACATCCTCAAAGAATTCTGTTGAATTTGTTAGGCATGATTTCCTCTTCGTGAAAGCATGCTGACACTGCTTGATAAGATTATGTATTCTATTATATACTTTATTGACTCTTAACAATTCCCAAATCACAGACATTAAACTAACTGGCGTATAGATACCTGTATTTTGCCTCCCTCCCTTTTTAAATAAAGGTGTTACATTGGCAGTTTTTTGTGCCTACAGTCCAGCCACGAACAAATACCTGAAAATAGATTGAGATGGAATTGGAAGGCAATCTCTTAACCAGTTGCTTCTTACTGAAGCTTGAAGCAGGCAACTAGATTGAAAAATAAGCATTAGATCAGTATGATGCAAGATATTTACTTACCAAAGTCTGATTTCTAAATGGGATTGCAAATGAACAAATAAAGAAATTTTGATTACCTGTTACATCTTTTTGTTTTATTTGCATTTGGCTGTGAATTATTTTTCCCCCCACTTTGTCTCACTTCACACAGATTCTTGTTGAACATGCAGTGCTTCCAGTATTGAATTCTGCAGTTGACTATAGGTGTTTAATACTGCACCCTCTTCACCTGATGACCCTCAATTAATGCTATTTCCTCTGTCTCCTGTAACACACACAGGTCTCATCCAAACAGCGGTGAATTCTATGTAGTTATGTCTTTACGTATGTCCTTGTGGAGCTACTGTGTCACTTTAGCTGACACATTTTCTTCAGTTGCACAAGGTAATTAGAAAAGGTGGTGCAATGTGATGTCAGGATATACAGTGGCATTTTGCACTCTGTTTCTGTACTTGATAAGACAGACTGAGAATCCAACAATTCACATTCTGTTGGACCATTGCCAGTAAAGTCAGGAACCCTCCCATCTCCAGAAGGGAGACTTGACAAGCAAATGGCTGAAAAATTTGAGAAATGCTGGACTTCTGTGAAATCTGAATATCTGAAAATAAAACACACTTGGGAAGTAGTGCATTATGACAAACCGAAAAAAATGTAATTATGATGAATGCCACCAAATATTTTGGGGGCTTTTGTGGCCTTTTGTTCGAACTTGTATAACTTTACTTGATAGATGTTCTTGATGAAAAATGTTGCTTGGATTATTGATCAGTCTTCTCATCAGAATGATGAGTTCGGAAGGCCCAGTTTGGTGCTTATATTGCCTGGAAAAAGAGTATAGGATTTGGGATGTCATGTTGAGGGTGAACAGTGAGGCCTCTTCTGCAGTACTGTGTCCAGTTCTGGTTTCCCAGTTATAGGAAGGATATTATTAAACTGGAGAGGGTTCAGAAGACATTTACCAGGATGTTGCTGGGACTTTTTTCACTGGAGCGTAGGATGTTGAAGGGGTTACCTTTATGGAGGTTTATGACATCATGAGGGATATAGATAAGGTGAATGGCAGATGGTCTTTTCCGTAGTGTTGGTGATTTCAAGACTAGGGGTCATATTTTAATGTAGAGGAGAAAAATTTTAAAAAAGACATGAGCAACTTTTTTACACAGTGAGTGATTTGAATGTGGAGTGAACTTCCAGAGGAAGTGGTGGATGCAGCTACAGTTACAACATTTAAAAGACATTTGAATAAGTACATGAGTTAGAAATGTTTGGAGCAATATGGGCCAAACACAAGCTGGTAGGACTAGTTCACTTTGGTAACATGGTCTTCATGGACTGGTTGGTCTAAAGGGTCTGTTTCTGTGCCGTATAACTTTATGGCTTTGAGTAACATTAGTATCACTGTTTATGTAAAATGTTGTGTTCCTTTATGCTCCTTTGTAAAATATTCACATAATGTATAATTTTTGATGCAATGTGCAATGTGTTCTTCCTTGATGAAGTATTTAACCCAGATATTGTAGATATTAAACCTGTAGATATGGAAGAATTAACGGAAGTGATCACAGCTGCTGAATTCCACCCCCACCATTGTAACCTGTTGGTTTACAGCAGCAGCAAAGGAACATTGCGACTCTGCGACATGAGGGCAGCGGCACTATGTGACAAGCATGCCAAATGTAAGTACTTGTTCTCCAATTGCAGCTGCACATTCATTGTTGAAATGTTAGAGTTACCCTGTAGCTGAATGCTAGTGGCAATTACTCAGCTGAAATTTCAACTTGCAGTCATTCACTTAATGGGTCACTCCAGCATTTGGCAGCTCAGGCAGAGGGGAACTCTGCAGTCCAGTTTTGGGGAAATTATATTGTCAACCAAACTGGTTTCTTGATTAACTCATACTTATTTGGCAGAACAGATCTCTGAACCTGCTGCCCAAGATTGGTAATCTCTTCTTGTTCTCTTCTTGCATCAGCAGCTCCCTTGATTTCTCTTGCTATTTCTCTTCCTTTCTCTTACCTTGCAACAAAGGAAACTCGGATGGTCCATGGAGCATGGACTATGCCAGTATCTGTTATGGTTGAAAAAAATCTAGGTTTTGATTGTCTTCAGTATGTTTCTGAAAACTAGATTGAGGTGGACACATGTTAACTTGCAAAAATATCTCAAATTAGATTATGTACTCTTTACACCACACATTAGACCAATATTTACACAAGTACAGATAATATTAATTTAGATGAGCCCCTGTTATATCGTGTTGTGACTTTGAACATAATGTATTCCAACACTGGGTGTACTTTTCAAAATGGACAAATTTCTGTTTCAGCTTTAAGATAAAATGAGCTGTTTTCTCTCTCTCTTTCAATCTGTGTTCTGCTGTAAATGTAACCAAGAGGACCATTCTGTGTGCTTGCTTATCCACTATATCAGATTATGCATCAGTTAATTGTTAAAAGAATTGAGAAACAATGGTTTGATATCTGTTATCATTGCACTGGGGTGGAAACTTGCCTTGATTGTGTCTGATCACACTTGGAGAAATGTTGGTAAGTTAATACATACACACACCACTACACATTAATTGAGGCTGTGCTTTCCTGAGATTTTGGAAACAGTTTGGACTTAATGTGCAGTTTTCCTGGGTAGATTTTGCCCTCCTAACTTATTTCAAAATCTTGTCCTTACCAACTCATCCATATTTTGCCTGTGTTTGGCTATGAGGGTGCACACAATGCTGGTTCTTAATGCAAAGCTACTGAAGTAAAATCCTAAGTACTTTCTATGAAATCTGACATTTCCTCATGTCCAAAAGTCTTCATTTTTGCAACTGGTGTTATCCCCCACCACATACCCAACCTATTCAATCCCAAGTGATTGGCATCAGCTGGGATATTATGATCTTAGTTGTCCCTTTGAACAGCAACTGGAAAATCTCTTGTTATTGTGACTTCTGAGCAACCTGCATCTGACAAGATCTCAGAGATGACTACCTACGTTTTGTCACACCTGTTAACAGATGCCAGAATGCCTGACCTACAGATATCTAAACATCTCAAACCTTATTCTTCTTGCCATCAAGAATTAAAAAGCATTGCCCAAAAATGTTTTTATTTCCAAAGTTCCCAAACTACATGGACATATGTATTTTTTTCCTTTACCCTTTTGTGTGTGTGTTTTTGGGTTTTTTTTTAAATAGGGCTAAGCAATTACATCTTCATACTGCAAACTGATTATTTTAAACCACCTTTGTGAAATATAATGACCATATCAGGAACTGGATGAAACAATAAGTAGAGTATATACTTTTGAATAGTGGAACCAAACAAGGACAACATTCTGAGGCCTTGAATGGCACTATGTAAATGTGATGTTTGTTCATTTCATTAGAGCACCATATTTAATGACAGTACTGACAATCCCATAAAATTCTGTGTATTGCTAAACTATAGTGCAGGGCTCAGATCATCCCAGGACAACAGTAGGATTAAAAATTGTAAAAGAAAAATGGGTTTCATCTGGTAAGTCATGTGTTGGTAACACCAAGTTTGGTTTTAAAAGCTTGCAAGTTCTATAAGAAAGCAAAGATGGAGGGATGTGAAGAATTCAGCAGCTCTTAAGGAAATCGAAAGAAAGGAGTAGAAATTTCTGCTTGACGGTCACAGAGACTCCAATGAGGCACAGAATCCTCTTTGATACTTCCATCTACAGTGGCAACTCAGCCTGCCTGAGTTAGAATAGAAGACAATGCAACCTGTTCAGATTACCAACACCATTCGGAGGGAACAGTTCAGACTAAGAAAAACAAATAGGAAAAGTTAGAGGAACACTAACAATAATAAAAATCAATATCTGGGAGAGTATGAGGCCTCTTCTTTAAATTCAAGAATGACAAATGGGAATATTTTCTCAATAGTAACTGATGAGAGAGGGGTGGAGGAGCAATGGAACTTCAAGCAGAGACCTTTTGTCAGAATTTATAGTCTAGCATTTACTTCCCATTTATATTTCAGTTTTTTGCAAAATGTGAGGGTCTTTTTATGACCTTGAGTTTGTTTAGCATCTTACCTTTAGAGTGTAGGAAAAGAATCTTTCATTTCTATCTTTGAATGATTTACTCATTGTTTTCCCCTGTTCCTGAATAGAACTTCTGTGCTTTGCTTTAAATTGGAGACAGTTATTTGTGGGGCATTTTCCCTGATGAAGCTTCAGTTTCTAATCCAGAGACAAGGAGAATTAGTCTCCTTCTCTAATTTATGTTTCATTGTTAATGGTTCAGAAAAATGATTCAGTGTTCTATATTGAAAGCATTTCTACCATAAGATTAACACTTTAACTGTTCCAGTTCTGCAGTATTGCATTGATTTTGTAAAGACAAATAGCTCAAAAATTCAGTAAGCAAATTCACCGACATGTGAATCACACAGGCTGCAGTACTGCTTGGAATTACAATGAGTTTCAACAAGCCTGATGATTTAGACAGTCATAAATACAACGTCTTTTGGTACATAGGCCTCATTTGGCACATAGAGGTATAATAAGGTCTTGTAGTCATTGATTAAAGTCCATTTTCCAGATCTGTGAGTTGGAAAATAGCCATTTAATGTAGCAGTGCTTCAGTGAGCCAATATGGAGTTCAATCAGCATAGCAGTGTGTGCGACATGTGACTATGTGATGACAAAACACAAAATATCAATGATGAATGACAATGTAAGTATCGTTAGTATCTGTATATCAGTATCAATTTGAAACAAGGCAGCTGACGTCAAGTAATATTTGAAGTAATTGTTCATTTTATTGCTTATATTTTTGAGCCTTTTAGAATTTTCTGAAAGGCCATTCCCTGTCATTATTAAATTGTTTATTTTTTGTCCATTGTGATTAACCTAATTGACCTCCTGCCTGGGGAAAGAAAGAACCTGAATATTAGCTGCTGGTGCCTTGTGATGACAAGGATCGTGTTGAATCAGTGGAAATGATTCACCGAACAATCTGGACTACAGACATCTTGTCAAACCTAGATAATGGATACAGCTTTGAGGAACTGGATTGAAAGTGGTTAATGAAATGCAGTCAAGCTGGCAGAGAGACATTTGCACGTTTGAGCTGGATAACTCATTGCTGCATAGAAAAGCTGGTATAATAATGGCAACCAGTGGTCATCAGGTTTCATTTTTACTTTGTAGTTTTAACGAATGCATCATCTGGTAATGCTGTTGATGTATATCACTTCTCTTCACTTTGATTTGCTTTCCTCTGGCACAGATAGAATATATGCATCATATTGAGAGCATGATGTTTCATACTCAATTATTGCTTACTCTGCTTAGTTTTTTTTTGGTTTTCACAAGAGTGAGTCATTCCCATCAAATGTCTCCACAAGTTGGGATATGGTTCTACCTCAGTTATACGCAATTGTAGTCAGAATTATATGCTGGAAGCTCCTTTGTGACTTGCTATTAGTCCAGAACAGTCATCTGACTGTCTCTAATGTTCATATTACAAGAATAATAGTAGCTTGCATTTATATAGTGCCTTTAACATAGTAAAGTGACAGATACAGCTGCATAGTGAGATAAAATGATTTAAAATGGGATTCACACAGGTTAGATCTTGCCATCTGATAGGAATTCCCTTGAATGGAGTTGTCGCATGGATTGTTGGTGTATGACACCAGAGAAGAAGGAAGTGCAGAGAATCATGCCAGCAAAATATACTTGAACTGAGAGAGAAATATTTTTGGGTTTGTGGTTTTTTTTTTTCCTAAAAGTTCAGGTCTGACAGGCAATACACCTTTTAAGCTCTACACCTTGTTATCTCCGATTCTCCAGCATCTACTATCTCTGAAACACCTTTAAGACAGTTTTGTGACATCATGCACTGTGACTTCAAATTAAGTGCAATTAGGAGGGCATTAAAGTAGAATTAAGTAAAGCGAACTGGCAAATTAAAGGATAGCAATAGAGATGGAGTGATAGACTTTTATGGGGATATTTCAGAATACACAGAACAGATACATTCCAATGGGAAAGCAAAATTCCATGTAAGGATTTATCGTCCATGGGAAAAAAAAAGAAAGGAAGCTTTAAATTCAAAGAAGAAGTATAAATTTGTGCAAAGCTGGGGTTTAGGTCAGAGAATTGGGCAGAATATTTTAAAAACAAAGCAAAGCATGAATAAGAAGGTTACCTCAGAGTACCGTAGGATCTTGATCAGATGGGCCAATGGGCTGAGGAGTGGCAGATGGAGTTTAATTCAGATAAATGTGAGATGTTGCATTTTGGGAAGGCAAGTTGGAGCAGGACTTCTACACTTAATGATAAGGTCCTGGGGAGTGTTGCTGAACAAAGAAACCTTTGAGTGTAGGTTAATATTTCCTTGAAAGTGGAGTCACAGCTAGATAGGATAGTGAAGAAGGCGTTTGGTATGCTTGCCTTTATTGGTCAGTGCATTGAGTATAGGAGTTGGGAGGTCATGTTGTGGCTGTACAGGACATTGGTTAAGCCACTTTTGGAATACTGTGTGCAATTTTGGTCTACCGCCTATAGGAAGGATGTTGTGAAACTTGAAAAGTTTCAGAAAAGATTCATAAGGATGTTGCCAGGGTTGGAAGGTTTGAGCTATAGGAAGAGGCTGAATAGACTGGGGCTATTTTCCCTGGAGCATGGAGGGTGAAGG